AGTTTAAATGTTTCTGTTTTTATCTGTGGTGTTTGTATAAACTAATGATTCCTTTGCACTTGATTTCCACCTGATTTCGAATTCCAAATAGAAAACGTTCGTTTGTGCTCATCTAGTTGTTCTTGAATTAACTTGCTCTATTTATGAGATTCCTAGTTCATATAATAATTCAAATACTTCTAATCATCACACTATCTTATATTTCTATGAAATACAGTGCATTCAATTTCAAATTTTCTCAGTTCTGATTATATTATTTTGCATTTAGACTTATTTTTTCAGAACATCTCGATTCGTAAAGAGCCACATAATTTTTTGAAGAGTCTTATTGATCCTTAGAAAACTATATTTGTGTAGGTTGAAGAGATTAATACATTTTCTCTAGACATAATCACCCACTTTAAACTTAGTCAATAGAATCTTGACGTAATCATGATTTTAAATAACAGATACCACATCCAAAAACCCAAATATATAAATCTACTAGATCGTTTCATTAATGATGCTGGTGAAGAGACCGGAGATATTCAGTTTGGAAATGCTACTTCTCAAAATCACTTTTGACACAATGACGACAAAGAACAAGAACAACCAGAAGTCTAGAACGACGGGATTGTGAAATTTGTACTAATTGGTGATTCCATTGTATTTTATTCGGAGGCTAATTTGAATTCTAAATATAATACGTTCAGTCTGTAGCAATACTTATCGAGTTCCGTATGTCTTAATTTGCATTATTGCAGGAATTCTAAGTTAAAACACCAATCCAACTACTCCCAATTATCGTACAGATCGGAATACTTATTTAAATTCAGGATAAATGTACTGTAAAGCATGGAATCTAAGCTATCTAGTTAATATAAGAAATACACATTTAGTGAGCCGGGATCTGAATCTAGTTTGATCGTATGAATGTTTGCTGTCGAAATATGTCTCCTGACTATTGTCGTATATATTTTTCGACTTAATCCGCGTTTATTAAATAGCGGAATTAAATAAGTCAAATAATGAGAATGGACTTTTGGATACATATATTTTGTTCACGAAGCGACCCACCGTAGCTGCTACCTTGAAGTTGTGGTCGGGCTTGCCTATCGTGATGACCCAACCGAGCTATATTGGCTGGAACATATGTTCCTGTAGGTCCTACCATGCCAGGCAGGTCGATTGGAGAACGGTAAGACTAAAAAGCAGCAACTCAAGGTCTGAGGGCGAAGTCGCACTGCTGACTGTAGAGGGGTTTAACAGAAGGTGTTTCCCTCAGACAACCAGCATCTGCAGCAATGCTGCCTTCTCACAAGGAAGGGGTTAGAAAAGGCTGACCCTAAAAATGTCACACCACACCTCCTAGGGCAGAACTAGCTCTCTTAGACTGGAACCAAGTAAACGGTCGTTTGTGCGCTGTCCGACTGAACGGAACAGTAAGGATCCGAAAAGATAGCGACACTCGTCGTTGCCTCTTCGTCGTCTCTGCCTATTCTCCCACTGACTGCAGCGCAGATGATGTAGAAGATGAGTTTTACAGAAAGCTCTCCGACCTTCTCCGAAAAGCTAGGCGCTCGGATGTAGTAATAGTGGCCGGTGACTTTAATGCTCAAGTAGGTAAACTAAGCGAAAGACACCTGGGTGGATCTTATGGTGTCGTCGTCGAAAAATCAGATAGTGGCGACCGTCTGTTGCAGCTATGCTCAGATAAGCGCCTCTTTCTTGCAAATACCAACTTTAAGCACAAGCAAAGGCATCTTTTGACATGGCGACCCCCTAATTCGTCCCAACCTTGGACCCAAATAGATCACATCGCTATCAGCCACCGATGGAGGGGCTCGATAGAAGACTGTCGCTCATTCTGGAGCACATGCTTAAATTCAGATCATGCTCTAGTACGAGCGCGTATTTGCTTGCGTCTTACTGGACGTAGGAAAGACGCTGCAAGGAAATCTCTTTAGGCCCTACTTAATGATAGCCAAAATAAGAATTTATTGCAGGAATAACTAGAAAAACAGTTAGGCAGCGATGTATGTGATGGCCACCCCGATGCAGCATGGAATGATATACGAAAAGCTGTGGAAACAGCAGTGATATCTGCTAGTACGGTAACCCGTAAAGTTAGGGAACAACACTGGATCTCAACAACATCTATCGCACTGATAGATGCTCGGAAACCCATTCCACCTGGCTCTGAACATAATGAGGAGCGGAGTCAGCTTAAGCGCAAGCTGACAAGAAGTCTACGCAATGATCGTGAACAGTGGTGGGTAGCGAAAGCAAGAGAGATGGAAAAGGCAGCGACAATAAATAATAGCAGACAATTGTTCAGACTTCTTAAGGAAACCGGTATTAGGAAACCGACTGTTAGCGAAACACTCAGAGAAAGATGGACACATTATACATTCTCAATCCAGGAGATTGCATCAATGGGCAGAACACTTTAGGGATCAGTTCAATTGGCCTTCAGCCACACTTCGGTTTCCCACAATCTCCAGTCAACCTGAATGGCAAGTTAATGTACGTCCTCCCACCTGATTCATCTCAATCACTGATTGTGCCAGTCTATGAGAAAGGACAAAAGTCCTCTTGTAACAAGCACAGAGGAATCAGTTTGACAAATATAGTGTCTAAAATATTAGCTTCAATAATACTTCGACGCCTAATCAAAGCTCGTGTAGAGCAGACTAGAGAAAACCAGGTTGGTTTTCGACCTGGACGTGGTTGTATAGACCACATATTCACACTACGTCAGGTTCTAGAACATAGTCACACATTCAGACGCCCCACAATCGTAGTACTTCTCGACCTTAAGGCGGCATTCGATTCTGTTGATCGTGAGGTTCTACGGCAGTGTTTGTCACTGAAAGGAGTACCAAAGAAGTACATTAACCTTATAAAGGCTCTCTACTCGAACACAACTGGTGGAGTGAGAGCTTATGGCGAACTGTCACCAGAATTGATTACCTCAAGTGGTGTTCGTCAGGGCTGTCCACTCTCTCCATTCTTGTTTAACTTTGTCGTTGACGTGCTTTTAGAGATAACACTTTCCTCATCTAAATTTCCAGGGGTTAAACTTCTACCGGGAGATGCACTTGCTGACTTAGAATATGTCGATGACATAGTTCTATTTGGTGAAGACGCTGACAAAATGCAGAGTCTTCTGACCACTCTAAGCAACAATGCAGGCATGTTCGGGATGCGATTCTCTCCCTCGAAATGCAAAATTTGCTTCACGATTGGGTTGCATCGACACCTGGACTAGTGATAGGGAGTGAAATAGTTGAGCGTGTCGACCGCTTCACTTATCTCGGAAGTCTCATCAGCCCTTGTGGTCTGGTGTGTGACGAAATCTCAGCACGGATACAGGAGGCTCGACTAGCTTTTGCCAACTTGCGTCATTTATGGCGTAGGCGAGATATCCGTCTACCAACTAAAGGACGGGTTTACTGCGCAGCAGTTCGTTCCGTCATGCTTTATGGCAGTGAAACATGGCCGGTAAGAGTAGAGGATATCCGTAGGTTACTAGTATTTAATCAAAGGTGCCTTCGAAATATTGCTCGTATATCATGGGACCATCGAGTAAGTAACGCAGTTGTTAGGAAACGGGTACTAGGTAAGGATGGCAAATCAATTAATGAAGTAGTGAAACTTCATCAGTTAAAATGGCTGGGACACGTGTTACGTATGCCCAACGACCGAATGTCTCGACGTGCGATGTTTTATGGTGTAGGAGTAGGTTGGAAGAAAGCTAGGGGCGGCCAGACCAAAACATGGAACAAGTCCATGAAGTCACTGACAAGTGGACTGAGACATGTTGGTAGGTGTAGACTACCTGGTTGGGATCCGCGAGACGATACCAACCGATTGTTAGAGACCTTGAATGACATGGCTCAAAATCGTTTGCAATGACGCAGGTACATCCACTCTTTGTGTTCTCCCAAATTCTAATCTTCTGAATGGCCCTGTCTTCTTACTCTTTCCAAATTTACTTCACTGGATTATACTCCTTGAATAACATCTTCAAACCCTAATCTTTCCGATTTCTGCTTATACTCTTACCACCTCTACCACTATGGGATTTGAATTTCATCTCTGTGCTAATGTGGTATGGCAACTCAAACTGATGTACGTACCTACGAAGTTCTACGTCGTTACTGACTGTCTGAAACAAAAAGAACCCCTCAAGAATCTGTGTAGTTATTATGTAGTTGAATTACAATCTCACCAATATGAATGTTGATAACTTACTATTTGGTAAACCTTTGGCCAACTGAAGGAAAATTCATTAATTCAACACGATGACACTTCACTCGAATGTTATTCTAGTAAAATTTATCTATTTGTTTGCGGAATCTTATAATAGTGAGTTTATCTTACAAATCAATCAACTGTTTTTACTAGGACAATTCAACACAATTTCTAATTAATACTTTATATTTAGATTATCAGAGACTACAGTAACCAATTTAAGGTGAGATAAAATTTCGATAAGTACTAACAGTGCAAATGACTATTCTAACTGAAACTTATAAAGTGTGTATATTTGTATTATTTCCGTATTATATTACTAGCAAACACATCTAAACTAATAGGCTTTAAAGAAAATACGCAAACGTGTGTGGTAATTTTGCTTATATATTATTTTTTATGTGAAATAGTGTTGTGTTAGAAAACTAGGCGTTTAGTTGACTGGGTTCAAAAAAGTTACTAGCATGTAATGAGTCCTAGTAAGAAGCTCGACAGATTGCTCAAATACAGGTAAATAGCCTTCCCATTAGTAAAATGTAGACATAATTTTAAAAAAAAATAAATGGACTTGAGTTACCGGAATCATATCGATGAAAAGCAGTTACGCTGAGGGTATTTATTCACGTGAATCAATCAACAGAAGTTTACATACAGGAAGGCATTTGCACCTGTGGAGTGCTTCGAACATATCTATGCAGCGTATTTACGCAAAGTGTGAAGTGTAGTGAAATGTTTGGTAATTATAGTACGAATGTTCGCATTTTGACGCGTTTTGCAGAAGTTAAAATTATGGGCTTAGAGTGCTATTGCTGAATGTATGTAACATCCAAACTAAATCATTTATTTAATAATTAGACCTACTAAACATTACTGGAAGTTAATATCAAGGTTAACTGTGATAACAATCTGAAACGATAAACCATTTTAAACATGCATGCTTATTCCAAACTAAATATCTGTTAGGTACGGCTTAAAAATGAAAACGTACCTGTTTAATTGAATCTATTAGGATTCTTGGAAAGTAGACTGTCAACCACAGATCAAAAAGTAAATTAATCTGTTCTCACGCATTATTTATGGTTTGAGAGTCTACTACTACTAAAATTTGTAAAAATTAGTGTTTTTTAAGACTACTAGAACAGGACGAATAGTAGTGGTTGAGAAATAATATAAAATCAACTTTTTTATAATAAAAAATAGTACAGTAAATGCATAAAATTTCAAGTTTAAAACCGATTTAAAAGTATCAATTGACTTTTTCCGTGAGAAATCTCCAAAAAACTGCTATTGCAAACTTCAAATAGAAAGAGCTATCAAAAGTAACAAGTGGGGGAGTCCGTGTTAATTCAAGTTTCTCCACAACATAAGTCTGACAAGTGATGAAAAATATTCCGCAGAAACATTTTGAATATTACACCGTAATTCTGAAAAAGAGGGAAAGCAAGAGCAAAGAAAAAGCAGTATAACAAAGACACAGATGGCTAATGAAGTTTAAAAAATTTACACTGAAAGAATCAGATGTAAAATAAGCTAATCAAGTAAACTAAAATAAATTCATTCTATTAGATCGACAGCACATCACACATCATCTGATAAGTGACAAACTAAACCACTGAAGGAAATAACAAAAAGATTGAAAGAAAATATTATGAGCGAGACAACAACGTAGAGTCAGAAAAAATATTTACCGTATACAAAAGATTCAAATGCGGAAATAAAGTAAACGAAAAAAGAACAAACGAAGAAAAACCAAAATATGAATATCTTAAGAATCTAGGTTATTACAAAACTGAAGAACGAACAAAATTTTACTAAGTAACCAGATATAACTAAACAAAACGCACAAGAGCGAACATCAGACAACAAAAAGCGAAACATATAAAATGAAAAAAACGGAGCAATATCATGGACAAGAGCATAAACAGGGAATGAAAGAAAATCTCCTAAAGCGCAAACTGCAAACGTAAACTCAATATACAACTCATACACACAAACACACACTATAAGACACAAGCTATCGCACGATCATACGAACAACACTGCTCTCTACATCGCACAAAGAACATCGCGCTAGACGATCACAAACCAAACAACACAACACAACACAACACAACACAACACAACACTCTCACCATATCCATTCGCAAACTGACTCATCAACCACACTCAGACATCGAAATGACCTACCACACAACACATTCGACCACTCATCATCACAGCAAACATCCTCTGCAATAAACATTCAAACGTCAGACGTCTCTCTATCTATCTGGATGTACGTCTCTGTGTGTGCGCACCCTTTCACAAAGGCAGACACAACAACACAGATGAACATTCATTTCGCAAGGTCATTAGTATTCCATGGAACAACAACCAGGACTGTGGAGCTCTTGCACAACAACCACCTCGACTAACAGTCGAATTCAAACACTCAACAAACCAACAACTGATACACACACACATATATATATATATATATATATATATATATATATATATATATTTATATATATGTATATACATATATACAATCGACCTCACTCACACACCATGCCGCATCAAACCGATCACCCATATTCACCAACACCCAAAAACACACAACAACCCAACATTCATGACTGTCACCCACGTCTCCGACACACCTCATCAACATAAACCATAGTCAGTATAATCAAATAAATCCAATACACAACAAACCCCTCGTATTCCTTCACCGACAACATGTCGCAAATATACACACCTTCACACACACACAAACTCCCACTAGATGCAACAGAAACAACACCAAACATCCTTGTCACCATACACAATCAATCAATTTGTCATACAGTCATTCGTCGTTTCAGTACATTGTCACGCCTTTCTCCACTATTAAAAACAAATACCGCCAAACAAATATACATCACAACTGCCACATTTCGTTTTCAAATCAACAAAATAACTCATTATACACTCTCTCAACAGTCTGTCTTCCTAGCACCCACAACCACACTCTCCGACATAACATAACACAATCTCCAAACGAACAGATCAGTTCCTACGAATACAATACACGAACGACAGGGAGAAATCTTATCCACATAACACACATAGCAAACACCAACCGAATGCTCAACACACACACACACACTCTCTCTCTCTCTCACTCTCTCTAAGCGAAAACTCAACTCACAACTCACACCACAATTATCTTATCACATTCAACCAGCATTCGTCACACAAATGTAAATATATATATATATATATGTATATATAAATAGGCTTACATTGATATTGTTACACGCGGACACAAGCTATCGCACGATCATACGAACAACACTGCTCTCTACATCGCACAAAGAACATCGCGCTAGACGATCACAAACCAAACAACACAACACAACACTACACAACACTACACAACACAACACTCTCACCATATCCATTCGCAAACTGACTCATCAACCACACTCAGACATCGAAATGACCTACCACACAACACATTCGACCACTCATCATCACAGCAAACATCCTCTGCAATAAACATTCAAACGTCAGACGTCTCTCTATCTATCTGGATGTACGTCTCTGTGTGTGCGCACCCTTTCACAAAGGCAGACACAACAACACAGATGAACATTCATTTCGCAAGGTCATTAGTATTCCATGGAACAACAACCAGGAATGTGGAGCTCTTGCACAACAACCACCTCGACTAACAGTCGAATTCAAACACTCAACAAACCAACAACTGATACACACACACACATATATATATATATATATAAATATATATATATATTCATATATATATATATTTATGTATATGTATATACATATATACAATCGACCTCACTCACACACCATGCCGCATCAAACCGATCACCCATATTCACCAACACCCAAAAACACACAACAACCCAACATTCATGACTGTCACCCACGTCTCCGACACACCTCATCAACATAAACCATAGTCAGTACAATCAAATAAATCCAATACACAACAAACCCCTCGTATTCCTTCACCGACAACATGTCGCAAATATACACACCTTCACACACACACAAACTCCCACTAGATGCAACAGAAACAACACCAAACATCCTTGTCACCATACACAATCAATCAATTTGTCATACAGTCATTCGTCGTTTCAGTACATTGTCACGCCTTTCTCCACTATTAAAAACAAATACCGCCAAACAAATATACATCACAACTGCCACATTTCGTTTTCAAATCAACAAAATAACTCATTATACACTCTCTCAACAGTCTGTCTTCCTAGCACCCACAACCACACTCTCCGACATAACATAACACAATCTCCAAACGAACAGATCAGTTCCTACGAATACAATACACGAACGACAGGGAGAAATCTTATCCACATAACACACATAGCAAACACCAACCGAATGCTCAACACACACACACACACTCTCTCTCTCTCTCACTCTCTCTAAGCGAAAACTCAACTCACAACTCACACCACAATTATCTTATCACATTCAACCAGCATTCGTCACACAAATGTAAATATATATATATATATGTATATATAAATAGGCTTACATTGATATTGTTACACGCGGACACAAGCTATCGCACGATCATACGAACAACACTGCTCTCTACATCGCACAAAGAACATCGCGCTAGACGATCACAAACCAAACAACACAACACAACACAACACAACACAACACAACACTCTCACCATATCCATTCGCAAACTGACTCATCAACCACACTCAGACATCGAAATGACCTACCACACAACACATTCGACCACTCATCATCACAGCAAACATCCTCTGCAATAAACATTCAAACGTCAGACGTCTCTCTATCTATCTGGATGTACGTCTCTGTGTGTGCGCACCCTTTCACAAAGGCAGACACAACAACACAGATGAACATTCATTTCGCAAGGTCATTAGTATTCCATGGAACAACAACCAGGAATGTGGAGCTCTTGCACAACAATCACCTCGACTAACAGTCGAATTCAAACACTCAACAAACCAACAACTGATACACACACACATATATATATATATATATATATAAATATATATATATATTCATATATATATATATTTATGTATATGTATATACATATATACAATCGACCTCACTCACACACCATGCCGCATCAAACCGATCACCCATATTCACCAACACCCAAAAACACACAACAACCCAACATTCATGACTGTCACCCACGTCTCCGACACACCTCATCAACATAAACCATAGTCAGTACAATCAAATAAATCCAATACACAACAAACCCCTCGTATTCCTTCACCGACAACATGTCGCAAATATACACACCTTCACACACACACAAACTCCCACTAGATGCAACAGAAACAACACCAAACATCCTTGTCACCATACACAATCAATCAATTTGTCATACAGTCATTCGTCGTTTCAGTACATTGTCACGCCTTTCTCCACTATTAAAAACAAATACCGCCAAACAAATATACATCACAACTGCCACATTTCGTTTTCAAATCAACAAAATAACTCATTATACACTCTCTCAACAGTCTGTCTTCCTAGCACCCACAACCACACTCTCCGACATAACATAACACAATCTCCAAACGAACAGATCAGTTCCTACGAATACAATACACGAACGACAGGGAGAAATCTTATCCACATAACACACATAGCAAACACCAACCGAATGCTCAACACACACACACACACACTCTCTCTCTCTAAGCGAAAACTCAACTCACAACTCACACCACAATTATCTTATCACATTCAACCAGCATTCGTCACACAAATATAAATATATATATATATATATGTATATATAAATAGGCTTACACTGATATTGTTACACGCGGACACAAGCTATCGCACGATCATACGAACAACACTGCTCTCTACATCGCACAAAGAACATCGCGCTAGACGATCACAAACCAAACAACACAACACAACACAACACAACACAACACTCTCACCATATCCATTCGCAAACTGACTCATCAACCACACTCAGACATCGAAATGACCTACCACACAACACATTCGACCACTCATCATCACAGCAAACATCCTCTGCAATAAACATTCAAACGTCAGACGTCTCTCTATCTATCTGGATGTACGTCTCTGTGTGTGCGCACCCTTTCACAAAGGCAGACACAACAACACAGATGAACATTCATTTCGCAAGGTCATTAGTATTCCATGGAACAACAACCAGGAATGTGGAGCTCTTGCACAACAACCACCTCGACTAACAGTCAAATTCAAACACTCAACAAACCAACAACTGATACACACACACATATATATATATATAAATATATATAGATTTATATATATGTATATACATATATACAATCGACCTCACTCACACACCATGCCGCATCAAACCGATCACCCATATTCACCAACACCCAA